CAGCGCTCAACCGCTGCGCCACCGGGGAGGCCCAGTGTTCTATTATCTTTTGATAGCACAGTGTCAGTGTTATTTACTAGAACTCACCAGCAGTGGTATGGAGAGAGGCCACACATTGCAAGCATATTTAATTCAAGAAAACACAGTTGAATATACACTTAGGACAGACTGGTGCTCACTGGCCAGGACTATATGCTACAAATGTTGCACAGTTTTTCTTTTACTGAAGGAGTAAGGTAGTTTTCAGTATGTGGGAAATGTGTCACAGAGTTTAGTAATAAACTGCTAGCTAGGTAGGCAGATAAATAGAGATAAAAATAATTTTTAAAAGAAAATATTTGAGACAAATAGCATTCTGATGAATCAGCATGCTAAATGAATACGACAAAAGGCAAATGCCATATTATGACTTAGTCTTTACATCATAGTGTCTATAAGAACATATATATTCATAAATATAGATTATATGTATATATGAATATTCTTTTGAAGGTCCAAATACAAGAGTGAAACCTTTAGAAGAGAGATTCTGAATCTTGAATGTATATCAGAATGACCTTGAAGCTTTTAAAATTATAAATTTCTTAGCAGCCCATGCACTGAAATTGGAGCTCAAGGATGACATGTAAATTCATGAAGTGTTCCATATTACAAAAAACAAAAATAATTCCCCCTGGGTTCCTAGAGATTTTTTTTATTATTTGGGTAGATCTGAGGTAGAGCCCAGGAATCTGTATAGGTTATTCTGGTGCAGGTGGTCCTTAACTTTCATTTTGAGAAGTACTGCAAATCTAACTCAGATAAGAAAAACATGTGAGTGTGTGGCAGTAAGAGTCAACCAAGTTCACAGGTGTTGTACCATCTTTGGATCCATAGATGCATTTCCTCAAGCTTTTGAATAGCACATGTAATCTACCTAACTCTAAAGTTATTTGTATACTTAACCTCAGTCCCCACAAGACTGAGGCTTCCTGAAACATAAGCCTTACAGATTTGCCCCTACTATCTGAAAGAAGAACATTCCTACTTGGTATGACTTGGGAGGTAACTTGGAAAGCTCAGTTTTTTTCCATATATTTTAATGGTACAGCATTCCCAGTCTCTAAAAATAATCTTCTAAACTCTACCAAAAAAGCTACATTTCTATTTGCAGAGAGCAGGGGAAAACTATATTTAGTAACTAGTCTTTCATATCTTTAGCTGGGCTTGCTCCAGACCTTCTCATTTTTGAGAAAATGCTCAATAATATTTGTTAAATGAATGAAGACAATAAGGGTAAAAATGCAATTCAAAGAGTGTGACTAGGGGCCTCCCTGGTGGTGCAGGGGGTTGAGCACAGCGCTATGAAGCTGTCTGCAGCCTCTGCAGCTCAGGTTTGATTTCTGGCCTGCCAGAGAGATACCCACATGGTGCAGCAGACTTCTCCTGTCTCACCCGCTGCTCTTCTCAGCAGTGTTTTTGGTCCATCTGCCTGTTCTGCTCCCAGCTCTGTCTCTGGTGAATCCTCTCACCCTCCCGCACCTCTGGCCTATACCCCAGTTCTTGTATGCATAAATAAGTCTTTAAAAATGCAGATTATTAAAAAAAAAGAGTGTGACTGGAATAGTCAGAGAAGTGTTTACTCTTGGTCCCTTTTACCCACATGTGGCAATTTTCCAGTCACTTCATTTCTCAGTGCCTCAGTCCTGCATTTGTAACATGGAAGATCAGTTTCTTCCTTTTTTTTAAGTGGGCTTTTGTATGTAAAACGGTAATATATATGAAAATGTTTTGAAACTGTATAGTCACTTATTTCATTTTTTAAAAATATGACTGTCTTTTTGCTCTCACCTCATCCCCTGACCCCCAACCCCCAACTCCTGTGAATACTAGGATGATTGTGGCAAATCCAAGGTTTATGTCTGGCTATTCTGGGAAAGCAAATCTTATTATTTGGAACTTAAAAGAACCACATGACTTCTCTGACTTCAAGGGAAATAAAACATAAATCCAATGCTAAAAATTTATAATATAAATGGAATAAATACCCCATGAATAATGGACTGTACAAAAGAAGGGGGGGGATACACGGAACAAAAGAACCATTTACGTTGTGGTTGGACTATGAGATGGGGATTTCTTATATCTCTGTTTAATGAAATAGTGTCTGAATTTCAGACTCCCCTGAGATCACTTTAAAAGGTTAGCAGGTGTCTGATAAGATGAACTGAAAAGCACATGTAGATAACATCCCTTAAAAAACCTCAAGGTAGGGATTATAACAAAGTTGTAAAGAACCAAAAAAGAGAAAGAAGTTGGATTACTTACAAGCGGTAACTGCTGGTAACTGCTGGTTCAGGACTGGAGCCAGTCCAAGCCTCAATGAGGAAGGTAAATACAAGGGTAGTGTTTTCCATGAAGCCATAGCCATATACTCCACAAAGCCTATGTCTTTTATTCTAAGATTAGGTCTTCTTTTATTTTGGCTTATTAAGAAATCCTTGCTTTCATAAATGTCAGTAGCCTTTGAAAATGGGCAAATGAAGTGTTGACACTGATATTGTGATTCCTCATGCAACCATTTATTCCAATAGCCTTGAGTTTGAATTCTGGATCCATACAAGGCAAGTGGCTTAAGGCAAATTTTCTTTTTTTTTTTTTTTAAAGATTTATTTATTTATTTATTTATTTATTTATTTATTTATTTATTTATTTATTTATTTATACAAGCACTGGGTACAGTCAGAAGCATGGGAGGGTGAGAGAATTCTCCAGAGCCAGAGCGGAGAGCAGAACAGGCAGACTGACAAAGTACACTGCTGAGGGGAGCAGCGGGCGGCAGGAGAGGTCTGCCCATCATGTGGGACCCTCACCCGGTGGCTGGGGATGGAACCGGTGCTGGCAGCTTCGCAGCCCAGCGCTCAACCTCTGTGCCACCGGGGAGGCCCTTAAGGCATATTTCTAATCTACCCAGGTCTTGATTTCTGCATGTGTAAAGTCATAAAGATTAGCAATAGCATATGCAATAATATTTGCAAAGACTTTAGCACAATTTATAGGACACGGTAACTGCTCACTAATTGGTGATGGCTATATGAAAAATAAAGACAAGATGTAATGTTATCTAGATAAGTAAATTAGGTAGGCATAAAATTACTGTTTTCACTACTGTTAGATAGGTTTTTCCATGGTGGCCTTTTTGGGGACCTATTCATGACTTTTCTCCAAGAGTGAGTCTCTAAGGAGCAAATACCATGGGGGGATTTCCTTTTCATGCCCTGTGTCAGTGGTGAGGAACATGCCAGAACTGTTGGTAGAGTGGAGTTGTGCCTACTGGCTGAAGTTCTTATTGGATCTAGTATTTAAATTCCCACGCTTGGTTCTAAGATTAGTGTTTCACATTGATTGCATTATGTGTATCTTTTAATTTCCAATGCTTAATAAACCATACCCAACCAGTGTTTCCTGATGATTTGAATGAGTAATATAAAAACGAATTCAGGGCGTATAATAACTCCAAAAAGCATGAGGAATTTCTTCTTGCTATTTTCTGCTAATTGTCTCAAGGACTATCTGAATTAGATGGTATTTTGGCAAATGACCTTTAACCCACCAAGAAAGATGGAAAACAGGAAGAAGGTGGGAATTCCTTATGACTAAAACACATTTATGTTAAGTCCATGATGGATATTCCAGGTGTTCTGGCAGCCATCTTCCTGGTCAAGATTGAAGTTACTTTCAGGCTCAATGTCCAACCACATCCGGATTTGTTTCCCAGACACCTCACAGGTAAAATTTTCCTAGATGGGGACCTCCCCGGTGGTGCAGCGGTTGAGCGCTGGGTTGTGAAGCTTCCCACAGCCTCTGCAGCGCCGGTTCGATCCCCGACTGCTCCCCGGCCACCGGAGGAGGGTCCCACATGGCGCACAGACCCCTCCTGCCGCCCGCTGCTCCCCTCAGCAGTGTACTTCGGTCCTTCTGCCTGCTCTGCTCCCCTCTCTGGCTCTGGTGAATTCTCTCACCCTCCCGCGCTTCTGACTGTACCCAGTGCTTGTATGTATAAATAAATAAATAAATCTTTAAAAAAAAAAGAAAATTTTCCTAGATGGGTCACATTACGAGGCCTTTAAGTGACTCTAATGCAGTGTATAGAGCAATAACTTAATTGTCAGAAATATCCTCACACCATGCTGGGAGGCAAACACTTGTGCTGTCTTTTATTTGTTTGGGATTCTCATGTCATTCTTTTTTTTTTTTTTGTGGGACCCTTGCCGGCGGCCTGGGAACGAGAATCGTTGCTGCAGAGGCTGCAGGCAGCGCTCAACCGCTGTGCCACCAGGGGAGGCCCTCTCATGTCATTCTCACGGGAAGCTGGTGGCTTAAGAAAATGTTTAAGGTATCCACTCTGGTTGAGTTCTGCCTCAGAAGCAATAATGCAAGGTCAAGTTCAGTTTTGTGGGGTTTCATACAAATAGTAATGCCACTTATTGAGTGTTTAGATTAAGTCAGGGTAAGTGTTGAGTGCATTCTCTTATAAAATGCACATATTAATGCTATAAGATAACTACTAACCGCTCTCTAGATAAACTGAGGCCAAGAGAAGCTAGGTGATTTGTGAGTAAGAGATGGAACCAGGTCTTTCTAATCTCTTTACTATTATATTGGATATGGATGTACACACATATACCCAGCAGATCATTTAAAAAATAATCAAGCCTCCTAAATTCCCATTGGACTTTCCTATATTTATCAGTGTCAATGACAGTCTCTGTAATTTCACCTTCCACGGCTTCCACAATCCATCTTTACTTTAGAATAGAAGCATGTATTTCAAGTAAACATACGTCAACTAAAATGCAGGTTCTTAGGAAAAACAAGGAATTAGATAGTAGGAACGATGAATACTTATATACACCCTTCTATTCTTTTTGAGCTTATGTTTCTTTACCAGCGTAAGAAACAAAACAGACACTTGCTTTTGTTATTATATTTACATAGCCAATAATAAGATAAAAATCACGAGTGTACACCCATCATTCTGTTTTTATTTATTGGCTGGCTAATTTACAAAGATGCAGATGTCCAGGGTAGACTCTGCCCCAACATTTAAACTCTCCTGATGACACAGATACCAAAATGTGCATGTTTACATAGTGCAGTGGTATGAAAAACATTTTTGCTTCTTCTTTTTTTTTTTTACAGTCCCTGATTACTATAAACAGGGAAAAATTCATTTCATGTCAAAAATGTTCGGGCACTTTAACAATCAATCCATTCCTGGTACTAAAATAACAAAATTGGTATTACAAGTTAAAATATAAAGGCCTACCAGTTTTTACAAATATGCAAACAATCTGCTACTCAGACATAAAAAGTCTATTTCCTTCAAATCACAAAGTAAGGCACCATTGGATTAAAAATTTTCTCAGCTTTTATGAAATAAAATGCATAGTGAAATAAATATGGAACACTGAATTTTAATACTGTAATACATTTCAATATAAAGTGATATGTGAATATTAAACACTCTTGCAAGATATCTTGAATATAATTATCTGGAAATGTCCTGGAAAAAAACACTCGTCAAGCTCTGATTTCAGGGAGGAAAATAGTCACCTTGTGATTTTCCATAGTTGAAGATCTTAGCATAAAACTTATGCAAAGTTTTGGATGCAATTAGGTTGCTAACTTTCAGAGTATAGATTTATTAGTAAAACCTTCACTTAAAAGATACATTCTAAAACATCTCTAGTCTAGATGAAAAACTTTAATCATGACTCTGTTTCAAACTTCAAAATGGTAGCTATTAAGTTGGGATATACAAGGAAACTGACCATTCTTACTACTCCTTATAAAATTTAGGTCTATTTTCTTTGGATCAGATGCTGCCATATTTACTTGGAAGACCAACTCCCACCTTTTCTTAAGTGATTCATTTTCATTTACCCAAAGATTTTAATCAACTTATCATATCTAATAATCAAAGAATACAAAAGAAAATGATACTGCTATGCTACCAAAATATTAGTGATTAAAATTTTTTGGAAAACATTTTGCCATCCTTGTTACACCTTTATATTTCTTGATTTGCTTTTAATAAAGGGCTCTTGTATGAAAAGTAAATGAATAGTAGAGGAAAGGGGGAAGAAATCAAATTCTCTAATACAGAGGCTTTGGCAAGGGAAGATATAAAAATACAATCTATTCAATTCAAATCAATCATTTCATAATTTATCAGCTATCCCATTCATTAGAACTTTAAGTTCTTTTACTTTTATATAAATGAAGCAATTTTATTATATAAATAGGAATGTTTCTTTCAAATTTTTCTTTGGATTGATTTCTTATTAGCATCTCCCAGTAATACATGAACAATACACTGAACCCATGATACAAAGTTTATGTAAATATACCTATGTGTCATGTGCTTTTAAAAAATAAGTAATGGTGATTTTAAACAAAATCAACCATATAAAAACATCTAAATGGTAAAGTTTTTTTCCCAACTCTATAGCTAGATTTGAAAGTCCCAATAAAGTTTTGTAAACAAAATCGTATTAAAAAAAGGCAAGGCCGGCTCTTCCCTATGGTCCTTTAGGGGAACTTTATTTGCATAGATTCAAGGCAAATGATTCTCCCAGATAGATTCAAAGTAAATTCCCTCCAAATTCCAGTAGGAATCGCTTTCTTTCAACCCATAAGCATTAGGTTTAGATTTTTAAAGTTTTGCCCATTTACTCAAAGCTGTTCCTTTCTTCCACATTTCTTATGAGCTACCTTTCCCTGACTTACTCCCCATGTCCCCTACAGTCCCCCCAACACTATCCCAGCATATGAGCCCCTTGCCCTAAGGAGCAAGCTGGGTGGGATGGGATTGGAACTGCTTAAAAATCCAAGTGACCTGCGCACACACCAGCCAGTTGGTTCTGAGCTCTCAGGATTTCAGTTTCTTTCCAACGGCTTTACTCCACGTGACTACAAATCCTATTAGACCAAGCTCTGACCTTGGTATGGTGAAGCAACATCTGTAGGTAGATATTAAGGGAAGATGGAAAATAAGGGAGCAATATCTAAGGTCAAGCTGTCTGCCAAACAAAGTGTTGGGTCCTAACTTTACTTTTAGTTACCTCTTGAATAGCTAAAGCTCACCTTGCCTTTTATGTTTGCTTGTTTTTAACAAGAGGTTTTTGCACTAACCCCTGTCTTTTATTCCTGCGCTATCCAATATGGTAGCAACTGGCCACACAGGGCTATTGAGGACTTGAAATTTGACAAGTACAAACAGAGATCCTCTAGATATAAAATACACACTGGATTTTGAAGAACAAAAAAAATGCAAAATATCTCCTTAATAATTGTTACAGTGATCATAGGCTGAAATAATATTTTGGATGAAATGTACTGAAATTAATTTCGCCTATTTTTTTTTCTTTTTAAAATGTGGCTACTAGAAATTTTAAACTCACTTTATATTTCTATGGGACAGCTCTGTGCTAGAGTTCACCTCACTGCCAAAGGTTAGACACCTTATGACCGTGAAAGTTTCATATGAGCTCTTGCTCAGCAATGTGCTTAGGTTGTCTGGGGCTCATGGAAACAGACGAGGGGTCAAGCATGCAAAAAAGGCATAGGAGAAAATGGCTCTCAGGACTTTACTGTAACTTTGCTAGTTACAGTCTATAGCAAATAAGCAGTGGATGTTTGGATTTGGTTCGTCGAAAGCTGGGACCCAATTCATCTCTGCCTACTTGCCACAAAAGCCTATGATCCCTAAGCAGCCGACACCAGCAGGCTGTAGCTAAAGCTAGCAATAGCATTGAGAATACACACAATAGAGGAAGCTAGATTCGCACCCTGCACACACATATTTCCATATCATCTTCCCTTCTTTCCTATTGCCAATGTGAAGGGTACAGAGGATGACAAGGAGAAAGGAACACAACTTTTGGAGAGCAACAACAGAAGGAGCCTTGAGCTCAGGTGGACAGCAGGCCAGGATCACCTGGGGATGGGAGGAAGTGGTGGGGCTCCCCTTTCTCTTCGATTGGATCCACCTTAATAAAAAAAAACAGACAAAATATACATTTTGGTTAAAAAGCTATGTTCTCACTGCAGAAACTCAAGGGTGTTGCGAACATACCCACACCCTCGCCCTCTGTGACCCAGGCAGTAATGAGCTGATACATGCGGTGAGAAGGGAGAGGTGAAGGCCAGCAGCCAGCAAGGACCTCATAAATGTTACAAGGGAAGGATGGCTACTGAGCACCTACACGCAGTTAAGCAAGTTTAAAACAATGCTTTTCTTTTTATCACAAATATAGTAGGTGTTTATTGCTGGAAAACATGAATGAGCAAAAACAAAACAATAAATTTACCACCCAGTGATAACCAATAAGTTTATATGTATACTTTCTATTAGTTTTTACACATAAACAGTTCCCCTTTTTGCTTCCCCAAACAGAATCACGTAGATTGAACATCTTTCAAAGTCATTACTCTTTATAATTACTGATACATTGCATTCTATTATACAGCTATCCTACAGTTTACTAATCCACTCAGTCTCCTTTTGTTGGGCATTTAGGTATCTTGTAATATCTAACAATGCTTTTTTGATAGTAGCCATCCTAATGGACATGAAGTTGTATTTCACTGTAGTTTTATTTGCATTTCCCTAATTATTTGTGATGTCTAGCATCTTTTCATGTGTTTGTTGGTCATCTATATTTTCTTCAGAGAAATTCCTATTCACATATTGAACTCATTTTGAAAACTGGATTATTTTTGAGCTGGAGGAATTCTTTGTGTATTCTGGATATTAATTCTTTTGTGTGTGTGTATATATACTTGTGTATATATATATATATAAATATATATGATTTGCAAATATTTTATCCCATTTCATGGGGTGCCTTTTTACTCTGTTGATAGTGTTCTTTTTTGTGTGTGTGTGTGGGACCCTCGCCAGCGGCCGGGGAACGAACCGGTGCTGCACCAGAACGAACCGGCGCTGCACCAGCGCTGCAGAGGCTGCAGGCAGCCTCGCAGCCCAGCACTCAACCGCTGCGCCACCAGGGGAGGCCCTGTTGATAGTGTTCTTTCAAAAACTCTGCATATTTATGTGTTATCAGTGCACCATAACCTGGTCTAAAATCACAATTTAAAAAATTAATTTATCCGACACACCATTTTTGAGGATTTTATAGGTACTAGACATGAAGCCAGGCACTCAGGGTCAAGTAGGGGAACATGCCAATTGATGTGGTCTGCTGTGGCTCCTGCTCTGAGACTCAGGCTGCCTGGCACCGGCAGGCTCCTAACACTGTCATCTTGACAGTGACCCTGGTAATCCACATAGGGATTTTTGATATAGAAAAAGATCTCTGAGCAAGAAGAGGAGTTAGAGAAAAACACTAGCCATCTATGACCTTCCCTCTTCCTCTTACCATCCCAAACAAGTCTTTTCTTGGACAGGCATCTGTGGAAAAACTCATCTATATGTAAACCAGTCATCTGTCATGGAGCCTTAATGCCACAAGTGGTCAGCAAAACAAAGGCTGTTTTGTGCAAAGCTATGAGTAGGTGGCACTGTCAGGGCTGTCCAGTGTCCAAGTAGGCTATGGCCTGGAGACCAAGGCAGCCACCAGAGCAAAATGAAACCATTCAATACTACATCATTTTGTTAGAGATGATCCTTTATCATTACAAAATATTAAACATGCATAATGCTGGAAATATCTAAAGCAAATTTACAAAAAACATGTTTTTGGGGGGCAAGGAAAATTATTTCACCCATTTATGAAATATTTTTAAATACCTACAACATTCCACGCTCTGTACCACCTGTGGAAAATGCAATAGTGAATAGGTCATAGTTTCAGTCCTCAGAGCATGGGGAGGATGATTCTGTTACTGACTTAAATGTGCAAATAATATTTAAATTGGATTAGGAGTGCTTATGTAAATATACCTATGTGAACAACTCCTTATAGTGAATTCATTTATTGCTCACAAGGGAAGAAAAACAGGCTGTCGTCTTATCAGACAGAAGCCTTTCTTCTCTCTCTCTAACCCCCCCTCCCCAAAGATATTAGACCCACACACTTATTTTTTTTCACCAAATATTTCAACCAAGTCTCATATGAAGTTCTAATATAGTTTTACCTTTTTATTAGGCATTTCCTAGGAATGCAGCATTCCTAGGACTACTGCAAAATTAACATAAGTTAATTTTTCCAGGAACTAAGCTATTCCTTTCAAACAACAATATGCTGTTTACTTCTGGCATCTGTTTATGGAAATTTTTCTAAATATTTTCCACTTCTTTGAATTCTTCAGCAGAGGCACAAAGCACAATTTAACCGCTTCTTAATAACACAATAGAAATATCTAGTATTTGTCCTGTGTTGTAATAAATAGCACAACTCTGTCCCTATCTATTCCTTTGACATGAGACTGCTATCTGTCACTTCTCCTTGAAATCAGTAGTACTGCTTGGAGCCAAACTTCAGCTGAAGTTTAACTTCTGCTTCAGCTTAACTTCTCTAAGCTTGGGAACCAATCAACCAAAAAGTATTTAAGAACTACTATGTGTTAAGGGAACTGGTAGTCCCCAAGTATGTATAAGGAGCACTGATAGGGTGTGAGGATAGGACTAGAGACATTAGAAGAGTAATTTGACATAATCAAAAACTCTCCACAAAGTTCTGGTTTGGGTGTTTGGTGCCAAGGCTAAGGCTATTACAAGCCTGAGGCTCATCAGCAATAGATATGAATCTCATGCTACTTGATTCTTAGTTCTAATATTTCTCTATACAAATAGAGAAATTTGTTTCTCTGTTTCCTCTATACCAGTTCATTTTTTTTCAATAGGGGAAAAAGTGATTCACTTCTTTATGATAATATTACATGTATTAGAAAAAAACCAGACACAATATGACTATCCAATAATGGTAAACTAAATCACTGTGTACTGACTTGATGGAATCCTGTAAAATAACACTCATGACATAAATTGAGGGAGTGCTTATTAAGCTATATTATATAAACCTTAGCACTAAAAAAACATGCTCCTTAATTATAACTATGTAAGTTAATAATAATTATATGTATACAATTTGGAAAGAACCTAGTCAAATGAAAATGTCTGTTGTTATATGGAGAAATTGTAGGTATACCTAAAATTTTCATTTAATTCTTTGTAAAGCTACATTTACAAAACATTTGAAGGGATATTTGCATTCCTATGTTCCATCCAGCACTAATTATAATAGCCAAATAATAGACACAACCTAAATGCCCAACAGATGACTGGATGAGAAAAATGTGGTATAGATATACAATGGAATACTACTCAGCTATAAAAAAGATGAAGTCTTGCTCTTTGATAACATGAATGGAAGGGGATAATGCTAAATGAAGTAAGTCAAAAGGAGAAAGACAAATACTGGATGGTTTCACTTACATGTGTAATATAGAGAAATAAAACAAAGGATCAGATAAAACCAAACCCGTAACAAACCCTAGAAAATTGACTGCAGAATCGAATCTACAAGAGGAGGAGAAGAGCATAATAGACTGTGGTAGAGGGATTGGGTGTCTTGGTGGTCTGAGATGTGGTGACACCCATCTGAGCAGGTGTGATGTCTCTGACTCACATACAGTGTTATAAACCAATGTACATACTAACATGTATATATGTATGTATATTTAAAAGGTCATAAGACATTTTATCAATCTCAAAACTAGTCAGAATAGAAGATGCTGCTATTTGTGCTGTCTTAGGAACGGTCAAGCAGGGTAAGGGTTCCCAAACAAGCAAAATAGTAAAATTTAATCTTCTAGCAAACCACGTGAATGTTGAGCATATAATGACACATTTAAGTAATTTCTCATCGGCATTGTAGTGTCTCCACTTTCTGCACTGCGTGTGGAAGAGGAGTTTACCATTTTGATGACTAAGTGGTATTCTCAGCCCTACTCCAAGCGAGAGGCATAGATTTCCTAAATAGTCTTCAGTGGTACATAACCCAGATCATTCAAACACAACACAAAAAGCCCTTGCAGAAATACTCACTCCGGCTTTCACTTCTTGCTAATTTACTGGGATAGCTTTTGGTCGTTGGTACATATGGCTCTGGAGGTGGCAAATCAGAAATTGGATGGAAGAAGAATCTGCTTTCCCACTCATCTGAGGGAGAGAGACAAAAAGCATCTTCAGGAACAATCTGTAGTGAAGACTTGTGTGACAAATGGCACAGAAGGAAACAGAATGACACCTGCAGAGATCACTGCGACTTTCAGGCCTGGAAGTTTAGAGGAAAGCTGGAAGCGCTACTGCTGCCACCACAGATACAATATACTCGCCTGCAAATCTCAAGACCAATCCAAGCGATGTAAACTGACTAGGACCCAGTCGGTCCTTCTCAGGGTTGGGGCTAAGGTTTGACTCTCCTTCCCCCTACCCACCTAGGGAGTCCAGGAATGACAATGGCAGAGGAAAGCTGCTTACGATCTACAGGCTGTTGGGCCTCTGACCTAGAGCAAACTGTTTAGAAAGGTGGGTAATAAAAAGACAACTTACAAAAATGGTTCTGTTCAGAATTCTGGACTCTGAAAAATTAGCCACAATGAGACTCAGACAAACAATGAGTCTCAGAGAAAAGTGAGGCCTTGGTTTCTTATGCTCCCTTTTTGGGTAGTGGAAGAGAGATTACTATTTTAAACTAGTAATTGTGGTGGGCCCTAAGGTACTTAGATCAGTACAGTGTAGTGTGGGCTACAGGAGAGTCAAAAATAAATGTTAATGCAAACATACAAACACACAAACCACAAACACAAGCAAGTTACCCATCTATTGCTGCCCTAGAGCCTGCAAATGTTTCCAAGTTGCTGGGACCACATCTCACCTTCACATGAAGAGTCTTGGAAACCGTTTCTAACTGATGTTGATGGTGGAGGTGGGGGTGGTGCCCCGGCACCAGGCCTGTCGGGAGGAAGGGGAGGTCTGGGCCCACTTCTGGGATTATCTATTCCACTCCTAGATGGCAACTGAGGGGTGGCAGGCAAGGCCCGAGATGTGCTGCCATTTCTGTTTATCGGAGGAGGTGGAGGGAGAGGGCCTAGAACAGAAGAAAAGACAACACTTAGTGTAACGTTACATATCCCATCTTATTATTATTGCAGTTATCATCAATGTGCAATTACTGAAAGCCTGCTGAATACATGCCCTTTAATAAAGCATACGGAAAAATGGGGAGACTTTCTAGATTTAGTTGAGAAATGAGTAGGCACATGTAAATACAGAAATGTATATATGCACACACGTCTATGTAAAATGAGGGCACATTGATAGCTAAATGACTGGCTTTGCATTAGTGCAGTTATCTTAAAAGCAGATGATCTGTTCATACTGTATACTTTAAAAACATTTCATAATCCATTTAAATAGCTGGTGAACTCATTACTATGGTACAACATTAAATAAATGATATTTTTAAAAAATTAGGAAAAAAAGAATGTCATGAAGTTATTTAAGGTCTTCAGAAGGATTAAGTTCTTTAAAAGCACAGTATTATTGCTAATTATACAACTAATGATGCATATGATCTATTTCTAGACAAAAGTGGCACTAGGAAGCCAAATACCAGTCACTCTGAGAATAACAAGAGTTTCTTCTTGGCTCTTCCCCTTTGGGGAGGGAGACCCACCCAGGAGTGACAGCTAATCAATGTGCAAGGCCATTAGTGCAGGATCTGGACCCTGCAAACTGGTTACCCATGGAACCAGACTTCCCATCTCGAAAAGAGGATTGTACAATCACCTTTCTCATAGTGCGGTTGCCAGCAATAGTCAAAAACAAGTAAAACTGTTATATAAGTACCTAAAATCCTTTTTTAAAATGCCGTGGTGTGGTGTAATCAGAAAATTTTCAATTCTTAGAAAATAATTCAAAGTAAATTCGTCTCTTTGATAATATAAACCTCCAATGCACAGGCTTTTTGGGTTATGAGTGAACTTAAAATAAAAAAGGAACTTGAACATTCTCTTGCCAAACAAAATGGCCTTTGTAATTATTCCTGATCTTCAGCAGTGTGGTCCACTTGCAAGATGTTGACGTTTTATGTAAACACAACCCGCCCGCTGCTGATATCTCTGCCTGGCGGTGTTGGCTTAGACACAAATGGATGTGGGAGGCATCCCAGCCCTGGGTAGTCTCTCAAGGAGTCTTCAGTGCCTGACCTGGTAGGGTTTATTTAATGCCCCATCTGCTTGTCATTGCTGGAATCCCAGTCAGTAGGAGCAGATTTATTGCAGGATAAAGTATTTCACAGGCTGTGGGCTTAGCTTCACTGGTACTACTACCACGAGAAATCTAGTTTGTGTGTCACTGTATACAAACTAGATTTCCAATATTATGAGGTTTACATATGTAACTTGATTGACTTGATCGCACTCCCTTCTTTAAAGTAAAAGTTCGTGTTCTTATCTCTCTGACCTTCCAGCTCCCTACTCCTCCAAAACTAGACAAGGATAAGAGAGAACAAATTTCTATTTCCAGTTGGCAGCATAATAATAAGATACATGCCAGCACACTTGTCTCACTTAATCCTGCCATCAATCCTAAGAACTGTAGGGACAGTGGGCAGAGCCTCAGAGTTGCTGGAAGATTAAAATGTCCAAGACAGGAGACTACTGAGTGGAATGGCCAGAATTTGACTTCAAATATGTCCAATTCTAAAGCCCACCCCCCTAACAATGAAACATCCTGGCGCCCAGCCTGCAGCCTAGACCAATGAAACCAGAACCACTGCGGAATGGACCCAGCAATCCATAGTTTTAAAGCTCCCTGGGTGATCCTAGTATGCGGTCAAGTTTGAGGACTAATGGTTTAAAGAGTGGTGTTGATGAGGTTTCCCAAGGATATAGGATCAAAGTCAATTAGTTTCTCCTAAAGAAAAAAATGCTCCATTTCCTGACATCATATATGGGTGAATGTTAAACCTAAAAAAGTAGAGGTTCTACTTCATCCATCAATAACCACTGCGAAACAAAAAGTGCCTACTATACTTAGGAGAGGGAGAATAAAGTCCAGGGAACCCTCACATTTCATTGCTTATGCTGAAGACCCAAGTATATCAATCTGTGGTGAGACGGGGCCGTAGGGAATCCTGGAAGGGCTTCAGCAGGTCCTTCAGTGCATGAAATTGCATGCAAATTCTGAGTATGTGCTAATGAGCATTTTTTTTTTTTTTTTTTAAGAGGCATGTCTTATTTATTTATTTATTATTTGTTTGTTTGTTTGTTTGGTTTATACATGCACTGGGTACAGTCAGAAGCGCGGGAGGGTGAGAGAATTCACCAGAGCCAGAGCAGGGAGCAGAGCAGGCAGAAGGACCGAAGTACACTGCTGAGGGGAGCAGCGGGCGGCAGGAGAGGTCTGCGCGCCATGTGGGACCCTCCTCCGGTGGCCGGGGAGCAGCCGGGGATGGAACTGGCGCCGCAGAGGTCGCGGGTAGCTTCGCAACCCAGCGCTCAACCGCTGCGCCACCGGGGAGGCCCTAATGAGCATTTTTAATGAAGAGAAGGCCTACACCTTTCTCTGATTCTCCAAAGGATCTATGTGACAGAGATGTTAATAAACAGCAAAATGGAATCTAATATTTGTCTTTCATGAATAGAGAGATGACCTCAAAGCTTGACGGATGAAGAGAAAAGTACAGGAAGAGTTCATTAGCTCCTAAGTAACTGCCCTTCTTATTGGAATAATGGAGTCCTCCTGCAGAAGGCAGGGATTTATATCCCCAATTTAGACATCTGAAATTCACTTTAGGGAGACAGGGTAGTAGAGTGGAGAGTACCCCTTAGAGATGGAAGATGAAAGCTGAGATCTCTCCTTATTAAGTAACTTGTAATCATTTAACTTTATTGGTTACTCAATCTCCTCACCTCTGCAAAATGGATAGAAATACTGGCTTCCTCGGCGGTTTATATGAGGTCAAGATGAAACCATATGTGAAGTATCACTTAAAAGATTAAAACAGCCTGGAAGTTTACGTAAGCTTTTAAGTAAACAGCTTAAGTTTTTGTTGAACTCTACTAACTTATATCATTATTAATGGTGACATTTGGGCAGGCTGGGTTTCAGGGAGACAACTCACCCCATGTCTTGCCATACCTGATCTGCCTGGTGGGTCCCTCACTGGAGGAGGGGGTCTCTCACTGGGTGGGGGAGGAAGAGGGCCGGACCGTCCTGGCGAAGGTAAGGGAGGTGCAGACGAAGTGAGGGATAAATTCCGCTGTGGGAGTCTTGGGATTTCATCACTGCCACTGGAACCTGGAGGCAGGGGAGGGGGGCCGGGCCTGCTAGGTGGTGGTGGTGGAGGCAGGGCCTGAGAGGAGGAGGAAGGCCTCGGGGTGGAAGGCACTGGAGGTTTGCTGTTCTGAGGGGGAGGGGGCGGGCCAGCATCTCTGTGGATGGTGGGCCTGCTACCCATTGGGGGAGGCGGGGGAGGGGGTTTGTCTTCCAAAGCCCTGCCGGGGGTAGGGGGCAAGGGGGGCCTATTGGAGAAAGGGGTGGAGGAGCCTGAGGCGCTTTGACGTATTGAGCCTCCTCCAAAAGCAGCACCTCTGTTTCCAGGAAAAGGGGGAGGAGTAGGCCCAGGGGTGGGCTGCCTGGGGACCCCAGGCACTGGTGGGGACCCCCGGTTGTGCAGACTTGATTGAATGGGCCTCGGTGTACTAGGTACTGGAGGGGGGATGCTATCAGGCTTTGAGCCCACGTCGGGCCTCGGGGGAGGCATTCGGTTCCTCTGGGGCTCCGGGGGGCCACTTCTGTGGCCTGCAGGAGGCACAGGGAACCTCCCTGGGCCAGTTGGGGGTGAGAAAGGTTTGGCAGAAGTGGATCTTCCTCCTGGTGGCAAAATTGGAGGTCGGCTTCCTCCGGAATCTGAAGAACCAGAAAAAAAAAATCAGTTAGAAAATTAGGAACCCTAAAGGAAATCAGAGAACTCAAGCTACTCCTGGCTCCTGGAAATTCTTTCCTAGAAGCTATAGCATAGGTAACTCGTATTTCTGTAAATTAGGTTTGTGTGATCTTTCCTGGAGGCAGAGGAGAAGCGCATGGCTCTGTTTACCTGCCAGTCCCAGATTCTACAACATGCCATTTTTCAAAAGGATTCTGGAGAGACCTCCAGAATCTACAGGGTGAAGTTGGGAAGAGTTCTGGAGAGATCCCTATTCGTTATGAGAGGACAAGAACAGAATGGTGCTGGTACATGGGATTTCTGATATTTTTCTCCTTGACCCCCTTCACTACATCATACACACCACCCTTGTAACTCTCAGGTTTAAAAAGTAATTTATGCCATCTTAGGTGAAAAAATTAGTTATACTAACATCAGCCTTCATATAGGAGGGCTTACCTAGTCCTTTTGAAATTCTCAAAAGAAGGTAAGTAAATGTAATGGAAGAGCTATGATTGAGTAAAAAAGAACTGAGAGGGAAACAACACTGGCAAAGTTTAAAGCTTGGGCACTGTGGATGTTCTTAATCTGTAAAGAAGTAGGCAACGGCCCTGCCTTTTTTTTCCTATTGGGTAAACTTCTACTTCTCTATTGGCAGGGCAGAACAGATGATTACATAATTAATATTGAACTACTTTGGTTCAACAAAAGGAAGAGAAGGGGGAAGCAAGTCATGGGAACATTCAAACCACCACCCCAGATTCTCTTGGAATCCAGGGTAATTCTCAAAAGTGGTTAGCTGGAAAACTACCATTTCAAGCATCAGCTAATTACCGTACCAAAGATTTATGGAGCATCTGCTGTATGCCAGTCATTTTTCTAGATGCTAGAGACAGAGGAAAAAACAAAATAGAGATGATCCTGCTCACCTGTAGTTTACATTCTAGTGGGGGAGACAAATAATAAGTAAGTATATAGATATTTTCAGACTGTTTTAAGTACCAAAAGCAGCACAGTAATGGGAACTCAAGAGGATTTATTTCAACTTTTGTGTTAGAAAAAGCTATATTTTCCTTGACTGTGTGGGATATTTCTCTGTCACTGGTTGGTGATAAGTTACATCTTCCAAGTTTGGATTAAAGGTGCAATTACTATCTAGTGCACCATTTTGTGCTGACTTTTTTTTTTTTGGTGGGACCCTCGCCAGCGGCCGGGGAACGAACCGGCGCTGCAGAGGCTGCAGGCAGCCTCGCAGCCCAGCGCTCAACCACTGTGCCACCAGGGGAGGCCCTGTGCTGACTTTTTTTCCATTTTTATTCTATGACTTCCATTTGTGATTTGCCTTAATGTCTTGTTAAAGTACTGTATGCATGCATTTGTCAGGTGCTGGTGGTTTTAAATAAGTTTAGTTGTCAATGTGGGTCTGGAAAGATGGGATCTCTCATACTATTGAATCTCTAGATTTTCATCATCTAATGCTAAAATAGTCAGTTAACCCTGAGGATTCAGTAGCTTGCTTTTCATATGAATGTGAGAATTTCACCCCTACCTAGTGGCATAGGTAGATCACAGATTTAGAAATAAAATTCTTATAATACAATAAATATTAAACAAATTTCTTGCGTTTCTGTAGCAGTCAGAACAGAGCCTCACGTGCTCTCAGGTTTTTCACTTAGGCATGGCCAGGCACAAGTTTTTTCTCTGCCATCAGATTCCTAGACTATAGGACACATTTCTACAGTTCTTGCAGAGAATACTTAGAATCACTGGTCCTGAAATGCCAAATGTCTGTCATGCGAAACATCCTTTTTAGAATTAGTGAAGTTTGTAATTATATCCCATGCAACATGCTCCACAGTGTGTTTCCAAAGTGGGTCACGAGTATTTACTCGACTAGACAGCTGGGTCAGGCTACCTCACAAAGAAAGCTGACTTTGCCAGGTCAGCAGGCAGTTTCCAGGATGGCAAGTTCCATTTGCTCCTTCCTTTTCTTCCCACTCTAGCTCACCCTTTAGAAAAGTACATGAAGTACACGTTACCCCAAGGACGGTGAGCAAATACTTAACAGCTCAATGAAACTGTCTGATCCTGATTTAAAAAAAAAAAAAAAAAAGCTGAGTAGAGGCTCTTTTATAAAACAGTGTTAACATTTCAAACAGTCTGAAATGTTTTAAAGGGCACAGAACCTTAGTGGGGATGCCAAGCACCAAACCACCATCTTTAGTTACTAAGAGAAGGAACCCTCCAACTTACCACTATCCCTGTTGGCCGTGGATCTCAGCTTGGGCATTCCTGCCTGGAATAGGCCTCCCAAACCGGGTGGTCCACCGCCGCCAAAACTTCCACCACCACCACCACTGCCGCCACCACCACCTCCACCAAATCCACCACCACCAGTACCGGTTCCTTTAGGTTCTACAGAAGGAAGAAAACAATCTTTTTACACGTATGAAGACACCACGAGAGTACTTAACCAGATCCAGCCCAAGTAAACAGTAACAACAAAACAGGTTGCTGGCTGACTCTGGGATTATGGTGCACAAAATACAGAATTTTAAGGCTTTACCCCACCTCCCTACTCCCCTGTGGGACATGGAGGCATTTCCTTCTACTCCAGGGCTGTCACAGGCCCAGTGGTGAAAGACTCGGTAAGAGATGAGGACTTGCCCTCGTGACTCCCACTTGGCTAGCTGCTCTATGAGTTAATATGTTTGTTCTATGTCATAAGTAAGGTTTGGCAGATAAAGGGATCTTCAAAGAAAGAAAATCCCAAAGGAAGGGGAGATGCAATTAAAAGATGAGGGAATAGTAAAAATAAAGAAAATTAAAGTATCTCTTATTTTCTCATCTTGGAAACACATACTGTTTTGGTGTATTTTTCATTTTATATATATATATATATATTTTTTTTTTCCCCCCTTAAAATCAAGATCAAATGTACCAAATAGCTTTTAGTACGCTTTTCTCATGCAATGCTTTATAGTTAGCAATTTTCATGTCATTAAATATTCTTTGAAAATAATGAGTTTAGGGCTTCCCCAATGGCGCAGCGGTTGAGCACTGGGTTGCAAAGCTGCCCGCAGCCTCTGCAGTGCCGGTTCAATCCCGGGCTGCTCCCAGGCCACCTGAGGAGGGTCCCACATGGCGCACAGACATCTCCTGTCGCCCACTGCTCCCCTCAGCAATGTACTTCGGTCCTTCTGCCTGCTCTGCTCTCTGCTCTGACTCTGGTGAATTCTCTCACCCTCCCGCGCTTCTGACTGTACCCAGTGCTTGCATAAATAAATAAATAAACAAACAAATAAATAAATAAATCTTTAAAAAAAGAAATATATTTAAAAAAAGAAAATGAGTTTAAAGGACTGCATTATATTTATTTTTTTTTTAAAGATTTATTTATGCATACAAGAACTGAGGTACAGGCTAGAGGTGTATGGGGGGGGGGAGAGGATTCACCAGAGACAGAGTGGGGAACAGAACAGGCAGATTGACTGAAATACACTGCTGAGGGGAGCAGTGGGCGAGTCAGGAGAGATCTGCTGCGCCATGTGGGTCACCTCCCTAGCCGGAGATTGAATTCATGTTGCAGTGGCTGTGGGTAGCTTCATATTGCTATGTTTTAACCCCTTGTGCCACCAGGGAGGCCCCGAATGCATTATATTTTAGAGCATGGATGTATTGTAATTTATTTAACCAAACACTTAGCTAATGGTCTTTTAAGGTGATTTTGACTTTTTAATATTATAAAGCCCCAAATTAGGCTTTAACATTAAAAAATTATTTGCTATTTGAGAAAGTACGAAGATTTTGTTTTATTTTGCATTGATTTCCAACAATTGCAAAAGATTTTGTAATGGGCAACCAAACAAAAAGGAAGAAGAAAAAAGGATTATCAAACGTTCTGGCTAGTCTTCTGGATTATTTCCAGCGTCGTTGAGCTACTCTACAACTTTGTACACTGCAGCAAACTGATAATAATGCAGATGATTTTTGTATATAGAAATGCGAATTAGTTATGTTCAGAGACATGCAATAGATTATTATCTTGTTTTGCACCTATTTGTAAATTCATGTTAGTCTTTCTCTGCCTAAACATAGGAGACAACTTGTATTCTTTGACCGACACATAAAACTAGTTCCCTCATTAATTAATGAGTTGAATAAAATCTGACATACATTTATCTTACATTTGTTTAAAGAGAGAGTCATGATTTATTCTTTCTTTAAAAAAAGTCCCAACAATTTATGTATGGCGGTATGTTTGTATTTATAAGATTAAACATTGTTTAAAGTTCCTCCCCTAGAAGCCTGTTGAGTCTTTGATAAGTATTACATGTGCTCTAAAAATTTATCTGGGAGGACTGACATTTTTAAATTTAGACTTCACTGAAACATGGCATATTTTACCATGTCAATACAAGTATATAATTTTGTACAGGTCACACATGCTTCTTATTAGGGTCACTTCGAACACATTTTTTTGTTTGTTGAAATTGTGAACAGGATGTTTTGCTCCTATAGTTTGCAAATGGTTATTACTTCATTGTATTTTCTAAATTAAAATCTAGAAAAATGGCATCTTGGATTTCTGGTAGATATATGTTCTGTAAATAAAAAAGGCTTTGCCTTCTCTTTTCTAATAGTTCTGGGTCTTATTTCTACTTTACATAAGTTAATTACTCTGATGACTTAACTTTCATAATGTAAATTATGAAATGTAAAAAATGAAATTATGAAATGTAATGTAAACTTTTCACAATGTAAATTATTAATGTTCTTACAGGCAATCATAGTTTAATTTTAATTAAAATGTCTCTAATGGTTCAAAGTTACATACTAACTAGAGGTTTTTTTTATTTTATATATTTTTTATATCATTTTTCATTTTTGTACAATGTATGCATTTTCATCTTGGTTATATTCCCCATACAATTCCCACCCCCCTTATTTTGGCCCTAATCCCTCCTCTACTCCCCCGTGCCCCGTAGTGTGTCTCTGGTTTATAGTTGCTTGATGATTTTGATTTTTACTTTATTATAATTAGTCTTTTTTCTGGTCCCTTATTTAGGTTTTCTAAATTTCTGCTATGAGTAAGACCATCTGGTATTTTTCTTTTTCTTTCTGGCTTATTTCGCTGAGCATGATTCCTTCCAGCTTCATCCATGTTGCTGCAAATTGCATGAGTTTATCTTTTTTGATTGCTGAGTAATATTCCATTGTGTATATGCACCACATCTTCTTGATCCAGTCATCTATTTTTGGGCATTTGGGTTGTTTCCATAGCTTAGCTATTGTAAATAGTGCTGCTATAAACACAAAGGTGCAGGTGCCCTTTTGAATTAATGATTCTGTGTCCTTTGGGTAAATATCTAGGAATGCAATTGCTGGATCATATGGAAGCTCCATCTTTAGCTAACTAGAGGTTTGAAATTGTGTTTTTAATATTCTTTCTAAATATTCATGGTCAGCATCTATTTTAGATTTTTAAGTCTTTCTTTTGCTGTGCAATTTTATGAAATGCTAGTCAGGATCCACTGAGTTGATTATGTGATTTTCCTTATTTGATATGATGGCTTAATAGACTTTCTAATATTAAACAATAAGATAAACCCTGGTCTTGGTGAATTATTCTTTTAATATACAACTGAAATATTTTTTGTTTGTTTGCTTTTGCTTTCGTTTGTTTTGTTTGTTTGCTTTACAATCATAACTGGGTCTAAATCATGGAACTACTGACATCTTGGGACAGATAATTCTTTGGCATGGGTAGCTGCCTTCTTCTTTGTAGAATGTTTACAGCATCCCTGGCCTCTATCTACTGAGCATCAGTAGGAAGCCCTCCCTCCCCAAGCTGTGAAAACTAAAAATAACACCAGACGGATATCCCCTGGGATATCTACATAGTTTTTGTGTATGTGCTGCCTTTGTCAAGTTTTGATGTTAGGATCACAACAGTCTCAGTAAACCTATCAGGTAGTTTCCCACCTCTTCCTATGTTCGGAATGTCACACAGCATTTTAATGATCTGTTTCTTAAAACTGGAAAGAATTTACTGATAAAATCACTTGACTCTAAAGCCAGAGAAAGTAATTTGATAAAATTTTCAACTTTTTGTGTGTGTGTGTGCTTTGTGGCTTCTTAAGTTTATTCTGGTAAATTTATGCCTTTCTTAGGAACTTAATTTAAGATTTTGAAATGTTTTAGCATATAACTTCATCAGACTATGTAGTATTATTTCACTTTTATAAAATCTGCTTTCCATCTTTTATTTGCTTTCTGCATTCTAATTCTATTCATGTGTGTTTTCTTTTTCTTGGATTAGTTTAATCATAAGTCTGGGTTAGCTCTGTATCTCCTCCAGGTGTGGAGCTTTCTGAGATACTTATGGAAGCTCTGCTGATAAAAGAAATAATGTGGTAACAAACTGGTAAGAATTACTTCACCTTACAAGATAAATCAAATTAGAATAATAATTTCCACAGTGCATGCAAAATTGTTTCTATATAAAATTTATATTTCTACTAGTTTTATTATTACCAATAATATTCATCATGCCCTCGTCATTCAAACATGATTCATTAACAAATGATACATTTTAGAATACCGTGTTCATACAAAAGACACCTTTACATGGTACTGAATATCAGAAAGATTAGCATACTATCAGATATCATCCATTAGTGCTCTTAACCTGGAACACTTGTGCATCTTTAAGATCGAGAAGCTAAAGTAGTTGAGGATCCTACATGGCTCCATGTCGCTTTGTTAGTAATTAAACTGCACCACAGGCTAACTTCAAGAGCATATTATGCATAGCCATGGTCAGCATTTTGACACCAAGTCCACTCAGGTTTCACTTGCAAACACACGGAAAGCCATGGAAGGACTTTGCCTAAATGGGTGGACAATGATATGCACTGGGTTGCATCTGTGTCCACCAAGTAAAGTGCATTCTTAAACATCACTGGGAAGCTGGAAGGGAGAAGAACTAACATTTATCTACATTTCACAAGAAGAGAAGTGGACCTTGAATATAATGAGTTTCCATGAGTAGATTCAGGAATAAATACCAAACTGTCCAGTCACCTTCAGCATCGGTGGGGAACTCACACCCACCTCTCCAGAGCTGTTGGCTCCCTCTCTAATCCCAGAGGTCAGCAGTTGGTAGAGCCCTTCTGGGTGCTTCCCAGGTATCATGACTGGGAGGACTAGTTGGACCAATGCTCCCCCAAGATAAGTGATTGCTGGGCTTCCCCCTAAGAACCTTGTGATACTGATCAAGGGGACTAAAGGATTATACAAAACCATGAGGGTTTTTGTGTACATTTTCACCTAGAAGTAAGACTGTGTCAAATCAAGAGTCAAAGACTTCATAGTTCCTTTTTGAGGTTGCCCAGTAACATTCAAAGGCCTTTGTCTTGGTCTTCCTCTTTTATCCTCCCACATTAATGTTTCTGCTGAGTTATGATTCTACTTCCTTCTCTACTCATTAGGTACTTTTTCCTAGAAACTCCTCCTGAGCATTTCTAATCAACTTGGCTAAAATCCTACATCATTCTATACTTGTCTATACTATTCACTTATCTATAAAGCTCCCTCTGGTGATTCTGGACGGTCACTTTATTTCCTACTGAATCTAAATGGAATCCACGGTCTAGGATGAATTCTGCGGACATCTGGCTGGCTGGAGAAGGGTCTAGGAATATGGGGAGACAGTCTCAAGGCCTGCTTACTATCTACCAGTAGATTCTAGTCATGGATAATTTTCATTCTGGTATAAATGTTTTCTTTTTTTGTGGGACCCTCGCTCGTGGCCGGGGATTGATCTTGTGCTGCAGAGGCTGCGGGCAGCCTCGCAACCCAGTGCTCAACCACTGTGCCACCAGGGGAGGCCCTGATATAAATGTTAATAAGCGGTCCTGAGTTATGGGTCCTTGGTTGTTTATACATCCCCTGCCTTGCTACAGAAAGTATCTCAGACTTACATGGATAGATAAGCAAACTTGTGATCTCATTTCCTCTCTCTCCAAGCCCCTAATAATCATAATATGTGCTTGACTTAGAGATTCCAGAGAACAAAACAGTTTTACAAGTAATATATCTTCTGATGCTCACAGCAAATTTGGGAGGGCAGTAGAAGAGGTATCATCAACTCCATCTGACAAATGATGACAAAGAGACTTGAAGATATTAAGTGATGGATGCACCGGCACTCGAACCCACAGCCTCTGATTCCAAGGCCGAGGGCTCTTTCCATATTCCATGCACCTTCTTGATCTTGAGCATCAAGGGGTTAATTTGCAGAAAGTGTTGTGAATCATTCAGAGAATCACTGCTGTGTGTGTCTGGGACAAAGAATTATTATACTGGCTTCCTGCAGTATTAGAGGGAGCCCAAGCCAGAGCTGTGACCTACAATGAGTGATACAGTCTCTTATTCTGCTAGCCTTGCAGCTGTTGTTAACCAAAAAAAAATTTTTTTTCTTTTTGTTGGAAGGGTAGGGTTGATTGTTAGGCCATAGACCAATTATCTCTGTGGAAAACAGCTTTTTTTGACTTACTGTCCAAAACGGGTGCACTTCTGTCATTGGTGACTGTCTTCTTTAGTTTCTTCCCTTTGCTGATGTCAGAAAGAAGAGCATTTCTTCCAGCCTGTTCTGACTTATTTAAGGTAGGCTTCTCTGTATTGGCCTGGAAGAAAACCATACAAACTTTATTCATCTCTTGAATTAAAATTATGTTCTACAACATGCAGCTGGGATGGTTAGATTACTGGAAGCTTGTTATTAAGGTTGTTGGCAAAAGGCTAATATAAATTCTCCACAAGTTTTAGACCCGATGTCATTCTTTTAAAGATCAGACATTTGTGAGAGGATGCAGTAACAAATTACATTCAATTTTTTTTTTGGTGGGACCCTCGCCGGTGGCCAGGGAAGGAACCGGCGCTGCAGAGGCTGTAGGCAGCCTCGCAGCCCAGCGCTCAACAGCTGTGCCACCAGGGGAGGCCCATGAGCTGTGCCACCAGGGGAGGCCCAATTACATTCATTTTTTAATGAGGGAGAGTCAGAGCCTGACAAAAGTCTGAAAATTGAGACCACAACCTGGTCATAACCAAAAAGGCCAGGACTGGATAGTTAGAAATGAGAAGGGAGGGCCTCCCGTGGTGGCGCAGCGGTTGAGCGCTGGGCTGCGAGGCTGCCCGCAGCCTCTGCAGCTCCAGTTCAATCCCCGGCCCACCAGAGAGGGTCCCACATGGCGCGCAAACCTCTGCTGCCGCCCGCTGCTTCCCTCAGCAGTGTACTTCGTCCGTCTGCCTGTTCTGTTCCCTGCTCTGGCTCTGGTGAATTCTCTCACCCTCCCGGGCTTCTGACTGTACCCAGAGCTTGTATAAAAGAATAAATAAATCTTTTATAAAAAAAAAAGAAATGAGAAGGGAATTTTAAGTAAGAGTGGCCTCTGTAGGATCCTATGACGCTTTCTCTAGAAAGTACTCTGAAGAACAGCTTCCTTCTCCTATCTTCTAGAACTAACCTGGTAGATGGGCGAAACCGTCTCTAGTAAAAAGGGCCAGCTGTAAGTATTTATAAAAAACCCACCAACTTTCAAAACAATTATTCCCTCTGCATTGTTGAAGATTTTTTTCCTTTTTAGTATATAGTTCTATCAGCATATGACAAACATATATTGATAAACATTTATAGTCCTGTCGCCATCACAATCAAAATCTAGAGCATGTCTGTTCCCCCAAAGGTGGCCTCATTACCCTTTGGTCTAAGGTATATCTCATGTTTAATCCCTATAATTTAATCACAGGGGTTGCAGTTGGAAAATATTTGGGTATTTTCTTATACAGGTTTTCCCAACACTTTTGTTTTTTGGATCTGGGAATGCTCAAGAAGTTTCCATATTTAAATGGTAATTGCATTTCCAGGCCCTGAAAGTATTATAACCCACCAAATCATATCAATAGGAAAGTTCTACTTTTGGATAATGGAGAAAATCTGTATTTCCAGAAGTCCTAGGAAAGAGCCTTATGAAGAAATTAGGATTTCATTATTTCAGGGTTATTTTAGGGAGTGGGGCACTAAATGCCCAGCATAAGACTGGAAAGCAGCATGTGCCTGTTTCTGCCACACTTGGAAACTGGCTTATTCTGGCCTGTTCCCGGAGACAGCTGGCTTCCCCTCAGCACAGAGGTCCTTCTAGCAGTCCTGACAATCCTTCTAGGTTGGCCCCAGCCCTTCTTGAAGGATCTGACTTTACAGGAAAACTCAACCCCTTACCTAGTCATTTATTATCTGAGTTAGAGAGAGAGGAAGAGCTAAGGAAAACCCTGAAATAGCAAAATGGAATTTCTATGTATTAAGCTGGCAGGGTCTTGAAATATGAAATAAATAAATTATAAGTTATTGCTTGCTCATGATAAGTTAGCATTTATATAGCTTTTATTATGAGTCAACCACTTTTTTAGCATTTTATGTATATTAATACATTTTGTCTTCATCAACACTGTGAGTCACTATTTCCATTTTGGAGACAAGGAAACCAAGGCACAGGGAAGTGAAATCATTTGTCCCAGTCACCCAGTTAGTTAGAAAGAAGAGGGGATAGGATTCAAACCCTGGCAATCTGACACCGGAACCTTTCAGAAGAATAAATGTAGGCTCTAAAATGCCTCTTCCCCAATACTTCCCTGATGCAAATCTATTAAGAGCTTCACAACAATCCTTCCAGAAATGCTCTCTGCATATATAGCTTTCTTTTGCTAATGGGATCAGCCACTAAACAACATACCTTGGGTGTTTTGGACAAAGATTTACTGTCTTCATTTTAAGTATGAAATAATCCTGGGGGTCAGAAAGGTCAAGCAATGTGTCCACCTTAGATCTGCTAATGAATGGTCTAGGGTGAGCAAGCTTCACAGGCCTCTGGTACTGTCTGAAAATTAATATGGACGCCAGACCTCCTTGAATGCTAACTTCTCTCACATGGCAGTCCGGGGCCCTTCGCTGCGTTGTTCCAGTAGACAGTGTCAGACACCCATCCTTTTATCATCATTATGTCCCATTTCTCTAGGATCTTGCTTTTAGTCAGGTAATTATTATTAGAAGTGAGTTGATAGGATAAACCAGAGTTTCCCAAACTTTAGACATTCTGGTATGACTTTCATGACTTTTGTCTTCTTCTGATGCTACCTGTGTTATTATTTACTTAATAGTTTTCATCAAGTCAATTCACTATATTATTCATGATATTATCTTTTCAGTGAATTTTTTTTTTTACATGAACTAACTATTAAATCCTGGGTTTGATGTGCTAGTTATAAATGTTTGATGTGCTAGTTCAGAACACACATTAAAATAAATACATGAACATTAAAATAAAAAAATTAATCTATGTACTGCCCAGCAGTGGTATAAAACTGACACTTTTTGGGAAATAAAAACAAACTAATTCTGCTATGTTAGCCAAGTCAGAACGTCCCAAATTTATCTATTTGAAGGGATCTTTTTTTTTAATTCCAATTTTTTAAAATTCCAATTCATCATGAACTGATACTTTTGTAAAGCAACAGAGAATTACTAGAAAAATGAATTGGTAAAAAAAAAAAAGACACACAAATTGCAATCTTAGAAACAACAGACATAAAACACTAAAATCAAATGGCTGTATTTCTAAGTGCTTACTCTCAATTCTATACTCATCTCCTTGGAGACTCTAAGACACAGCTGGAGGCCTACACTGAGTATCAATTCATGGTCCGTTCTTCCAACTAGCTTGCAATTTCAGGTGGGCTATGTCAAGGTGTCCTCTAGAAGCCTGGGCCAGAGACCTTTCCTCTCTGAGACTCAGTTTCCCCAAATGAAACAGGAGAGTCTCATCACTGAGGCTCCTTGATAACAAGTCTCACAAGCAAGGGAAGGCCTTGTAATGGGGTGTCTAAGAGACTTAATCACCCTGTGGCAGGCTTTCCAGAAGAGAGTGACTAACTTCTGAAGACAGAGCTGCCAAGGCATCAAGATGAGCCCAGTGAAGAAATTTCATTGTAAAGGAGATATTTACATGCACCAATAGATTTAAATGAGGATGTGAGTATGTGTGTGGGAGTGGCGGCGTTGGTGGGTTGATAACTGTCAAATCGGAATGGGAAGAAAGAAGAGGCAAAGAAAAAGAAAGAAGTGAAAAGAGAGAAAACGAAATTAAAAAGACAAGAGTGAGCCTGGAAGACACTTTAATGGATGAATTTTCAGGTAGACAGAGTCCTGAGTTTCCAGGAAGTCCTGCCCAGAAGTTAAGGCCTAACAGTTGCATCGATGTGGAGACATGTACATGGCAGCAGTGTTCCTGGAGCATGGTGTGTGGCAAAGAGCAGGACATTCCCCCTATGGACATGGCAGAGGAAACCCAACTCTCCTTCCTTGAGAATCCTGTGCACAGCATGAGACCTCAGACAACAAAACCCCCACTAGTCAGAGTTACTACAGTCAGGGGCTGGCTCCTCTGGCACCTGGAAAGCTCTCCATATCAAACTTAACATGAATACATTTCAAACAAATAGAGTGTGCCAGGTGTGACTTCATTTGGCTTGGTCCAGGCATCACTAATGGATGGGGCTGGGGAGGGACTCACCAGAGCAAACGTGGGCGGGGGCGGGGGCGCTGGAGGGGGAGGGACGGGCATCTTGGACAGTTAAGCTTTCAACAGTCCTGCTGACAGATCTGCAAAAACAAAACAAAAAGAAACAAAACATGGTCATGTGTGAGACTTCTTAGTAATCCCTGTCCCAATCTTTCCTCCTTGCCTTCACGCCAAAATGACAGCTATTTGCTTCAGCCACTGTGACAAGAGTAGAATTACATTGCTATAAGATTACTGTTTGGGAAGGACCAAGTAGAGGTTTCTGAGCCCACGTGCCTGAAGACAGTATAAGCAAAATTCACCCCTCATGTCACAAAACTCTACCGTCCACCCCGAGCAGAGTGTGCGTGGGGACATGCTACAACCCCCACCTACCTGAGTAGGTGGAAGGTTTATGGCGACACTGTGAGAAATGTAATCTGGGAAAGTTTGATGTTCAAGTGGCTCCTCCTCCTTACTCATGTCCATGACAAAATGCTTTGGTGGTCCTGTCCCTGTCCCCTGTCCCTCTATCCCCATCCCCCCATTCCTGATACTTGCTTGAGTAAGACTCACTAGGAATACAAAGATGAACCATTTCTGGTCTTGCCCTCCAAGTTCTTACAGTCCTCTAGGGAAGGGGGTGGGGATCTGCGAAGCTGGAGGCAGGGAGATGGGCTGGGGAGTGCAGCTCTATCTCTCTGCTCCTTTGGCATTTCCTTATAGGATCTAAGTAGAGGGGGAGAAGCAGTCAAATGCAGGACTCCTGGGCTGTTTCTTACAAGTGCACTTCATTAGAAAAACTTTCTGCATAGTTGACTGCTCTGGGATGGAAAGGAAGGCCAGACCCTGAGACTAGTTGGGAGAGCAGGGAAGCTGGAAGAGCAGGGGAGGGCAGAGCAGGGGTTGGCTCAGCCATATTTGCTTGGTCCAGGCATCACTGACAGATCATCAGGGGACACTCACCAGAGCAAAGGTGGGCGGTGGTGGAGGCAGGGCTGAAGAAACCACAGGAGGAAGTACACAGGAGTTATATCAGCCGCGTCCTCACTTCCCTTATCTCCAATCATCACAGTCCCAAACCCAAGCCTCATCAGAAACCCCATGGCCCAGTGGGTGGCAGCACATTACCCACATTCTCACCAGGCAGTAAGCCGTTTCTCCACCCAGTCCTGGCCACTCCCTGTGGTTCCAGATCAGCAGAACCAGGAGCATGTGCAGCTGCTAGAAATGTCAAATTCAGCCCACCTCCCCTCACTGAATTTGTTTCAGTATTTTAACATGATTCACAGAAGCCCTGTTGTAGAGTTTGAGCCTTAAGCCAGTGGGCAGCCTGGGACGCCGACCACCTGAATAACATGGTTTTATGGCACACGTGCCCTGAATTTCAAACAGCAGTTATTTTTCTTTTATTATCAATAGTCTCTTAATTGCAGCAAACAATTTCTTAGAAATGAAACTATTAAAAGAATCCATCCATTAAAAGTTAATGTGGAAAATTTATACCTTGAAACAAACACTTTCTATTAAAGTGTGGCTAGCTGGCTTGCTTTCTGCGAGCAGAAACAGGATGCAAAGGCTAAAAGGACATGGCCAGACCTGCCCCAGCTGCTGGAAGACAGGAATTAGGTAAGACAGCTTGGAACAGTTGCGTTCTGGTGAACTTCTAGAAAATGAAAATTAGAAACTTGCTACAGCAGCTTTCAGTTATTGACAATCAGGATCCAGAGTGCTTTCCTGAAATCATCTCTCTTACAACGTTGCAAACCAGCATGATTCTGTCATTTTACAGAGAAGGACACAGACTCAGAGAAATTAAGTAACTCACTAAATGATGGGCAGCAATTCATTCCAGTCCGGTTCTGTCCATCCCTGCTCTTCCACTGGATTACACTGCCTCACTCCCCTGCCCTTTTAATAGTCTGACAAAAATTTTTAGTCAGGTAAAAGGCTAACTAGTGCTAAGCTCACTGGTAAACTAGACTGGGATCTGTTTTTCTGTAAGATACTGTCTGTGAGGAGGATTCTCTTCAAATGTGTTCGTTAAGTTGGTTTTTCCTGTGTGGCACCATGGAGCCACAGGGCCAAGGGCGTGGGGTCAGCAGGGCTGGGGGCCTCTGTTGGGAGATCTCTAAGGTGGTTCTTGGCTGAAGAAGGTCTCAGAGTCACATGACCTAGTTCTGGGAAGAAGGACAGGGGTCTGAAAAGGAATTCAGGCCCAAATACTGTGAAAGATGCTAGAGCCAAAGCAGCAGTGTTGACAGACCTGGCAAAGGCCGCTGACAGAGGCAGGAAGGTAGCTGGGTCTGCCCAATCATGGGGCCCCAGAGATGGAGGGCTCATGGGTTTGTGGATGACCTGTGCCTCAACACTCCAGTTTATTGTGTGTGATTCCATGTTCACCAATGAAGTCGTTGTCCTGCTTCCCAGATGTCAAGGCAGGAGTGGGTTCTTTCTGGTCACCAGGAACCAACCTCTAATGGGTTTGGTTCTCAGGCATCAGTCTCTGCTTGCAGAGATCAAACTGAACTTCTGTTCTGCCCACAGTCTGTGGACTAAGGACCCTTTCTGGGGAGGCCACCCTGCAAGGCCTCTTCAATCTAATTATTTTACAGTTGTCTGTTGTTGCTATTACAGTTCTGTGAACTAACTGACTTAAAAATAAACCCCTGGACGATAGAGGCTCGTCTTGCCCGCCCCATCCCCCTCTCCCTGGCCACGTCAGATAAACAAGGGGGAGAAGTTGTGCAGGGCTAGCGAATGTTCTCACCTCCCTGAGGGTGATCGGTGAGGGCTCTCACCTCTGCTGCTTCCTCTTTCCCACTCTCCTCAGATAAACTATTGCCACACCCACCTCGGCACTGAGAGGGATATAGGAGCATCAGTGGACTTTTTGCTCCTTCCTAGCAGAACTGCTGCTGGGTGTGGTCTGGGCATGTCCAGGCTGGCACCCCCAGACTCCAACCCTTATCACTTGGGTCAAAGACCAATCTCATGACCCCATACCAGGCCCACAACTTATCTGTCTTCTCCTCCAGTCTGGAAGCCATCAGGTTTCCCTAGTATGTGGTACAAAGCAGGGTTCTCATTAAACAGGTGTGATGTGAAAGAACCAGCTATCCTACAAACAAGCAGTGTGCTGACTGTTGGAATGACCCCCAGCATCACCCCTCACTTGCAACAACCTGAGGTTAGGACAAAGAATCAGTTTTTACCAGAAGGCTTGCAAGCAGTAAGTAATGGGACTTGCCTTCCTGGCAGTCCCCGACTTCCTCAGTGAAATAAAACCCAAGACCTTGGGACAATGGGGGCTTTCCTCCTCTCACACAGAAAACAGCCCACATCTGAGTCTGACCCGGGCCCTAGAAGGGCCTCTGCACCACACATCCTAGCAGGCCAGGCATTCCTACCCTGAACCCTAACACCTGCAGTGTCTTTGGACAGAAGCCACAGGCTTGGGAATGGGATGGGAAAGACGTACACATTTCCTGCAAGCTTCAACTAAAATCTAGCATGTCCACCAATTATGAATACAAGCCAGGAACCAGAGTTCTTGAAACATTTTCACCAATAGTTTTTTACATATTTTTAAAATCATATCACAATTGTTGCAGATCTCTTTTGAAATGATGCCAATGTTTAGATCTGCTGTTATATCTTGGTGTACCTGTTTCAAAATAACTCGTTTCCTTGGTAACCTATGTTTGTTTGTTTTTTAAAGATTTATTTATTTATTTGTTTATACAAGCACTGGGTACAGTCAGAAGCGCAGGAGGGTGAGAATTCACCAGAGCCAGAGCGGGGAACAGAACAGGCACTGATGAAATACACTGCTGAGGGGAGCAGCGGGCAGCAGAAGAGGTCTGCGTGCCATGTGGGACCCTCACCGGCGGCTGGGGATTGGTGCTGCAGAGGCTGCAGGCAGCTTCGCAGCCCAGCGCTCAACCGCTGCACCACCGGGGAGGCCCTAACCGATGTAGTTTTATGCATTTAACAACAATCAGAGAAGGAATCCGTTGGATTTTACCAGACACCATGTGACTGATGGAATGAAAAAGGCAAGACAGACTGTGAGAATATGAGACCCAGGGCAGGCATATTTGACATTGACTCTTCACTGTGCCACCTAATCACCTGTGGTTAGCATCTAGCCTCTCTGAGCTTCCTTTCCCATCTCTAAATGGAGCATGGCTGGGAGGATAAGATGGCCTGGTTTATGGTGGGGAGAGTTAGCAATGGATACTAGGGTCTAGGATCTGTCCTCCTGGAGGGTGCTTGTGCTGGAGGAGGAGGGGCTTCGGGGGCACTGAGCAGAGAGGCCCTGGTTTTGCCCAGAGTCCCTCGTGGGTAGAGCTGCACAGAGTGGGAGCTGGGGAGCCTGAAGACTTGACCTTGCTGTTACATTTGGTTCTCTCAGGAGACATCAGGAAAGGCCATCCTGTCCTGGTCCCCGGAGGGATCCTGGAGCAAGGGAGAGGATAAGGGCAGGGGTTCTCAGAGAGTGGGTGTCATCCCGAGCATGAGAGTCAGCTGGGTGCTGTTTGAGAACACTGTGTCCTGCTTCCCACCCCCGGTGAAGCTCCCTAAAGTTGCAGGGTGACTGACCTCCCCATTTGTGCTCCGCGGCCTCTACCCCACAACCTCCATCCCAGGCACTGAAGTTTTAACAGTATTCACACTTGGGATTTATTTCTTTTAAAGAATAATTTCAGGGCCTCCCTGGTGGCGCAAGGAGTTAATACACAACCTATGAAACAATCCACAGCCACTGCAGCATGAGTATGATCCCTGACCAGGGAGCTACCCACATGGCGCAGCAGACCTCTCCTGACTCGCCTGCTGCTCCCCTCAGCAGTGTATGTCAGTACATCTGCCTGTTCTGTTCCCCCCTATGTCTCTGGTGAATTCTCTCTCTCCCCACACTTCTGGTCTGTACCCCAGTTCTTGTATGCATAAATAAATAAATCTTTAAAAAAAAGGAACAATTTCCCCATGATGAAATGTATTTCATCATAGGGAGAAAAGCTAGACTTTTTTCAGATGTTCACCTTGTGTGATGAATTTTAAGTGCACAAAGGAAACCAACAGGAAGGAAAAGGCT